ATGTCATATTAAGTGTTTTCGCGCTGAAAAATATTTCCTCGCATGTATGTATATGCGTGTAGTGGGGTTTGTAAAATTATGATAGGTAAAAATTATTATTATTTATATTTATTTTTAAATTTTTGAAAAAAAATGGGGGTTTATATGTTATAATTAAAGCTGGTTATTTGTTTGTTTTTGGTGACTGTGTATATGTAACAGGTAGAAATTTGTAATCCTTATTGGATAATTTATATGGTGATGTTTAGTTTAATATTCAATGTGCTGGGTGAGAGGGTAGTTCAATGTAATAACGGGTCTATATGATATGATGTGATAGTAATGTTTCAAGGGATTGGAGACAATGATAGCTAATAGTTGTTGTAAATTGGTAGAAATTGTAAATTGTTAGAAATGATTAGTAACGGTGGTGGGAGAATGATAAAACCATGAATGTAGTTATTGTGGTGGTAGCTTGAACTAAAAAGTGGTTGTTGGTATTTTATTTTATTTTTGTTTTATTTTGTTATATGTATTAATTTATTTTGGTATAAATCCTGATAATAGGTATTCTGTGTAAAATTATGGTAGTTGGAGATTGCAATAATTTTTAATATTTTAATACCAAAATTATTATTGTTATTATATTAAAGCTGCCTGGTAATAGGTGTTTATTCTCATGGTTACATATGGAAATTATATCTGATCATATTGTTTTAAGGTATTAAATATGCTGGGGAAGTAATAAAGATTGTAGTGGATTTATATGTTAATAGTGGGTGTGATGTGTAAGTGATGGTGCTGTGCGTTGGTGGTAATGATAATATTGTTAGTTAAAAGGTATTGTAGTAAAAGTGATTACTAATGGTGGTGTAATTATAATAATGATAGATGCAATTATTTTGATGGTATCTTGAAATTAAATTGTGATTGTTGGTGGTTTGTCTATTTTATCCGTTTGGTATGAATTCGGATAATAGGTACTTGTTCTCATGCCTACGTTTGGAGATTATCTCTGATTTTTTGTTTAGTAAGTTCTTTTGCGGTTTGTGTGATATTATTGCTAAATCGAAAGTCTAATAAGACGAATGAGATGGAAGGCATATTTCTCTCTCAACGACCCAAAAAAACCAATCAACTGAAAAGCCCGAGACATTCAACTTTAATACAAATAAATGTCCACCAATATGCAAGAAAATGTTAAAATTTGAAGAGGACATGATAAATATAGTTAGAACCTTAAAATTCAAAAGACACTTGGACAATTTCCAGAAAAAAATCATAGACGACAGGAAAAAAATAATCAACTCCAACAAGGTATTCATTTTGGCTGACAAAACCACAAACATATATACTATAGAACCTACAGCCTACAATCAACTCTTAACCAACAAAATTACACAACTATACAAAAAAACAAACATAAACACAATAAACATTATAAACCAAGAAGCCAAAAATATAGCCACCAAATTGAAAGAGTAAACAAACTAGCTGAACAACATGCTTTCATCACGGCAAAGGGCCACAAAGCCAGCTTCATAGAAAAACCCACATTCAGACTAATTAACCCGGCGAAGAGTGAGATAGGAAAAATTAGTAAGAAGATACTAGAAAATATCAACACCAGCCTAAGAGAAAAATTAGGTCTCAACCAGTGGAAGAACACCAAAGCCGTCATAGAGTGGTTCAAAATAATAGACAACAAGAATAAATCCACTTTCATCCAATTTGACATTGTGGCTATTTATCCTTCCATTACAGAAAGCATATTAAATGAAGCCATACAACTAGCACAGGTAAATATAAAACTCACGGACGGTGATATAAAAATGATCAAGCATTGCCGCAAATCCCTGCTGTTCCACAACAATGAACCATGGGCAAAAAAACAAAACCACAACCTGTTTGACGTAACAATGGGTAGCTACGATGGATCAAAAATATGCGAATTAGTAGGCATACTCATCCTATCATACCTGGCCAGAATCCTGTAGATTGAATAGCCCGGTTAATGACAGTCGAGAAATCGTAGAACATATCAACCAACTGAGCCACGGTATTAAGAACGTTAGGTAAGGGCATTAGCATCTCTCATTAAGTAAGTGTGAGTTGAGATTCAGTTTTAAAATAGAATCATATATTAAAGAAATAAAGAGAACTTTAGGCTTACTCAGAGAATAGAGTTTCGACAGAGAGTCTTCTAGAAACCCTAACCGAGGCAAAAGTTACCAGACCCAAACTATCAAATTTTAAGAGGAATATATTACATGGGAAAACAAACAAGAACAACGCCATCAAAATCCAACCGAATTGTGAGTCCTGATTCATTTGTTTATTTCTCTTCTCGTCAAATTCTCGTTTATTTAAATCTCGTTTATTTTTCATTCCGACTTTGAAAGCGTTATATCCGTGCTTCGGTTTCGTCAAAAAGAATACGAATATAAAATGATTATATCAGTCTTAGTGACAATATTTTATCGTTTTCATTAACCGGTCTTCACACACACACACGCACACACACACACACACACA